TTTCATTAACACCATTCATGAAGAGAAGAAAAGATTTCTCTGTAATTTACAACTCAATATAAATTTAAACGATTTATTATAAATTAAAAACTGTGCTTTGATTAAAAAAATTATACGGTTGTCAATTCTCTTAAGCTAAAATAGCATTTAATAGAAACGTATACATACTGAAACTTAACTGAACATAACTGAAACTTAAATATATTATCCCTTTGACGCAGAGGTTGTCCAAATTGTCGCACAAACATTGCACTCTGAATGATCAAAAATTGCAATCAGTTCGGTATCTTTTAATTTTTATTAACTTTATTTTATTTGTTGTAAATCATAGTTTAATTTAAAAACTATAATATACGTATAAATCAGATATTTGTATCGGCTATTAATTTTCCACAACCATTCAAGCTTTTTTCCTCCAGAATTCCAATTCTAAAGATGTTCGTCGTCAATCAAAATCAGCTAACAATATTCGCATCGGCTATTAATTCTTTACAACCATTCAAGCTTTTTTTCTCCAGAATTTCAATTCCAAAGATACCGGGATGTTCGTCCTCAATCAAAATCAGCTATTCGTATCGGCTATTAATTTCCCCAACCATCCGAGTTTTGTTTCCGGAATATGAATTCCAAAAGATAATGGGAATATTAAATAAGATACGTAAGGTTGTTGTAGTTCATTTACATCGCACTAGAGCAGCACAATGGGCTATTGGCTACTGTATGGGAAACATCCCTTAGGATGATTCAAGGACATACCATCACAATTTTGATCCTCTGCTGAGGGGATGGCACCTCCGCTTTGGTAGTCCGACGACCTGCAAGTGAAGTCGATCACTTAACTGTAGAATAGTTTAACGAGGACTAATACCGCACACCCTCGGTCCTTACGCAGGCTGATCCAAATTGTCACCCACCCGCACAATAACCGCAGCCAGTGATGAACCTTGGATGTATCTTAGTGATGTATTTTTCTAAGTTGTTCTACATGTAACGTGACAGGGCTTATAAGCTGTACTTTTTATTAAGCACATAAGCTTGCATGTGCCTGTGTAACAATAAATAGGATTTATTTATTTTTAAACATAGTAACAGACTCTTTGTGGATTGGTGTTGTTTACATTTATAGCTTTTCGCTATTTTTCACTGAGACCTTCACATAAAGATGACAAAAAGTTTATAGCAGATTTTAATCTTAAATAGCAAACGTTTCTAATTTTTTGCTTGTTTATAATGTTTTTTTATAACTTCAGTTGAATTAAAATCTCTTAATAATTTAATTTGTAGCAAATATAAACTGTATTAAACGTCGAAATAATTTTGTAAATTTTTTTTAAACAATGACTACACATTTAATAGAATTTATTCAATAAAATAACGCTCTGCTTGGTTGAGTTTTAATAAAAGTATTTTGTATAAGAATCATAGGAAAATTTTTTCCAGAATGTATGAAGACCTTATTTTAATAAAGATTCAACTCCACATATTAAAAAAATGAGCTAGTCTCATTTTAACATTCACACAAGCTATTTCTATCTTACTTTAAAACTTTTACCAGCTTATTTCTATTTCCAAATAAAATGTAACAAAAATCAGACTAGATAAGATAAACATAGTCTCATTGGACTTTGAAGCTCTGCATTTCAAATGAATAAAAGTTGAATTACTCCGATACTCAAATAAGGGCTTCATATTTTCGGAAATAAAAATTAGAGGGCAATCAAATCATTTTTTTAAAACAAGTTTTCATTTTTAATCAGTTATGTAATCACATTTGTTAGAAATAACCTTTCGCCAATAATTTGCAAATTTTCAATATCGGATGAATAAAAATCAATTGGTTTTTGAGCCTTTTTGGAGAGGGCACATAGGACATCATCCAAATTTTAAATATTTTGCCTACCTAGAAAATGTCTTAGAGGTTGGAATAAGTGGAAGTCGACGGTGCAATATCTGGTGAATATGGAGAGTGAAGCAGTACCTCCCACCCTAATTCATTAATTTTTTCCAGGTTTTGAATTTCCTGATCTATATGAGTCGGATAGATCAAAATAACCGGGTTTGATTTTGCAAAACCACGTTTGACATTTGCGAACGAAAATGTTTTGGGTAGTAACTGCTATGCAACTACCCTTGTGGAACTCTGAAAGCAAATAATGATGGACATCTACTTCTTTTAATAATGCGGCCTCAGTGTATATTTTTATAATCCTTGTCGAACATTAAGTACTAAAGTATGTGAGTACTTCACTATTTCTCTAGCTGCAATTCTGTTACGCAATAACTCATTAGCATCGCAATAACTCATTAGCATAGTCAGAAGATTCTAATAAAGTAACCTGACAGAAAATACTTTTTAAATCCTTGTCGGACATAAAATAAAATAAGCATTCTTCACAATTACTCTTCGTAATATTCTTCTGGTATTTAGATGGCCATTTCATCATAAATTGCAAAAATAATTAATATAAATATTATTTCATTTTTATTTATTATTATTATCAACTCTTTACATTTATTAAATAAGCGAAAGTAATAGTTATTAAAGTTATATAAGTAATATTTATTAAATAAAAGAAAAAATTGAACTATTCGTTTACATTTGGAAATATTGCGTTAAAATAATTAAATAAACGTAGCATATAAATACGTTTCTCTGTAATTATACAAAGCAACATAAATTTCATATTTTCATTACAACGAAATTGGATAGACACGAATATTGAAATTCGCAGAAACGATTTTACTTTCTTGTCCTCCTAATAAATACATTAGTTCATTTTTATTTATTACTATTATCAACTCTGTTGTTTGTAATATTTATTAAATAAAAGAGAAAAAAAATAATACAACTATTCTTTCACGCTTAGAAACATCACGTTAAAATAATTAAATAAGCTTAATATATATATGCTACTTTGTAATTACACCAAGCAACCTAAACTTTATATTTCATCGACATTGGAAAGACACTAATAAATTTAATTGCGTTAAAAACTTTAAAAAGGAGAAAACTTCATCGATTTAATGTTCTAACGATAAAAGTTTCAATCTTCAAGTTAGAATCATTAACCATGTAGCTAGTGTTTGGTAAATGATTATGTAATGACTCAGGGAGAAAATTGGAAAATTAATTAATTGAACGGTAATGCAACAGATGGGATATGGAGCAGTTTTCATTAAAACCCAACTAGTTTCGTAAAAGTGTCATTTAATAATCTTTTGCTTATTTCTGAAATCTCTAGTAACATAATACTTATAACTAAATTAAAACATGTTTCTGATAATCATGTTACCATTCAATAAATGAAACATTTTTAAAATGAAGTATAATAGAAAAAATAATTCATTTAAAAGTACACAAATTTTTAATGAAAATAAGAATACTGATTAAAAGTAAAATTTAAATATATTTTTAATGAACTGACTGATTATCTAGAGGTGTCAATCGGTACTCTTATTGGCACCTCTTCATTGATCTATTAATAAATATTATTTAAAGTTAATACCATGAATTAAATTTATAATAGCAGAATTTTTAACTGAGAACACAAATATGAAATAGTTTAGAAGTTGAAAATATATTATATTTGAAAAATTGGTGGGGACACTTATAACAGACTGTTTACATTTCAATAATTTTTATTTCATTAAATATAAAATCATAGTATCTAAAGCGTACCGCAGTTAGTTTTTTATTGAATCAAAGATAAATTAATTCGAATCGAGTTGGCTTTGACGTTTTTAGATTTCTTATATTTGGAAAATAATTTTTTATATTTGGTGGTTGATCCTTTGGGGCTTATATTAGATAAAAATCAAAACTGTAGTACAGTTGGTTTTTATTAAAATAAAAAAAAAATTTCAAATCAAATTGCCTTTGATTTATTTCCTGCCAAGTTTTGGTTGAAAAAAAAAACTAATGCAAGCTTATTTTGTTGAGCTTTATCTTTCCAGAAAGAAAAAAAACATGTTTCAGAAGTAATTAAAAAGCAAAAATTGTAAATCAATATTGATTTTACCAAAATAGCTGAATGAAATTGAAAATTAGATGAGTCATTTAGATAAACATTGAGTTATTTTAAAACTTAAATTAAGATTGAAGTTTCGAATATCCGGAATAGTATTATTATTTTTTGCACAGATATTAAAAACACATTTTTATTTTGCGTTTCGTTCAGAGAAAGTAATATTATTAAAAAAAGAAAACAAATCTTTATTTTCTCCAACAAGAAATATATTTTAATTCAAATACTGCAACAATAATATTCCTTAATAATTCCTTTCTGCTTTTTTTTTCAATGTCATAATTCTTCAATGGAAACATTTTATCGGATAATTTTATTCACGGATAATAACATTTTGTTCGTGGGTCGTTAAAAGAGCGAGACATTAAATGTAACTAAACATTTAAAAGTAACCAGACATTCTCTAAAATACTAAAATCCAAAATATCTATCAAACTTAGTATAAGTTTTAAAAGGATATCTGAAGTTTCAATTAATGATATTTAATCACTGCTATTCTAATATTAATGAGTTAGTATTGTTTTATCATGATAGTATTTTTTCCTTTAATTTCAAACATCTTGTAGACGTCTGAAATGATGACAAAGGTCTGCCTGACATATAAGGATAGAAAAATAATATTGTTTTTACGCTTGAAATTTAAAAATAAAATAGAAATGTAAATGAATTGTTGTTACACGTGATATTAAATGTTTTATTTTTAAAAGGAATTTTTTTGTTATTTGAAACATAAAAATATTATTTAAATGTTATTTCTTAAAAGCATTTCTAACTTTAAAATTGGTATTTATTAACTTTAATTGTATTTCGCGACAATGTAGTTTATAACATTGCTAAATAGACGAGTCTTATGTACTTTTTTAGACTAAATAAAAAAAAAAGTCAAAATTGATTTTAGAGAAGCAATGAAATGATAACTAAGTGGAAAAATAATTTATGTCAGCCAGAAGTTGAGATAAATAATAAAAATGGTAATCCAATGCTAGCAACATTTCGGGCAACCTTTATTATTTAATGTTGGAGAGCAGAAAAAAAATCTTCAGTAGATTCCAGAAGAATAATTCATTTTAAAATCAGGGAAGTCCTAAAATTTGTAAACAACTTCAAACCCTATTTGTAACAACTTCAAACCTACACGTCCTTTAATATTTATGGTTAGAGAGCGTAAGAAATCTCTTGCAGACTTGTGTGAATGGAAAAATTGTTTTAGCTCTACTGTCTGGCGTTCACGAGATGTGCTTTTAGTCAGGCTGAATGGCTTTCTAGTTGTGGTGGCTGGTATTAGCTAAACTGCCCAGTGCAAACTAGTTTTAAGTTCAATGCGACCGCCAAACAAAAGTATTATCTTCACCAAGAAAACTAAATACACCAGTCCGTTACTATCAGAACCACTACTAACAAGTCCAGTGTTAGAGTTCATATAGCTAGTCTGTAAGATAAACTTAATCAATCCAGTCCTTAGCTTGTAGTCCCCCCCCCCGAAAAAAAAAACGTTTCTTCCCTCTTTGTTTTACTTCTGCACTGTTTAAGGCCTTTTTTTCTTAACGGATTTTATTGAAAAATCTATTCTCATAAAAATATCACTTTGATTGAGGCTTACTCCCATTATTATGCAGTTCGCAATATGTTCTTAATATTGAATAGATTTAAATTGAACTTTTCAGAAAACTCGTTTTAAGATTGTTTTTCCCCCGATACCTTGCAAATGAGCAAAGAACAGCAACGATACTGGTTGACATATTGTTAATTAAATAAAATTGTCAGTTCGATTATTTACTAAATATAAAAAAAAAGTTAATGCGAATTTTAGAAAAAGAAGTAAAGCAAGCCGCACACAAATATCATTTTAAGCGTCAACTTCAAACTAACCACACAAATACAAACAAAAACTTAAGTAACATTATAAAACAAATATCTTAAGGTAGCTTCAGACTGTGAGTAAAACGCTTGTTTTAAAAACATTTTTAAATGCATCATTTTTGATATAACAATCTGCTGTACAAATAACAAATTTTAAACAAAGCATTAATTTACTTATTAACGTTACAAATTCATGACTGAGGCTTATTGTCTGTAAAAAAGCAGATCTTTATGTCTAAATGACAATGGATAACATTAGTTCGAAGATTTGGATGGATTTATCATATAATGCTGTATCATGTTTTGAAATAGTAGCTTCCTTAAAAAATTAGCAGTAAGAAATGTTCCTGCATTAATCACAAGTTTTGAGTGTCCTTAACAGCTCTTTTTCTTTGAACAAGTAGCGAATCATGTTGTTTCTTAGAGGCAAATAAACACCAGAAGCAACAATAGAGATGGAGTTATCCAAGTGGCGCCATTTCGTTGGTTGTATGTAATCATGTCATTCGTTTGAAGACTATCAAAGCTACCTTCTACAGATTCTGAAGAAAAATGAATTAAAATATAAATATCAATTAATATATTAATTAGTTAATTTACATTACTTAAGACATTTCTTTACCATACCTTTTCTCATGTTCCCTTTTCACTTAAAACTTGAAATATAAATTTGTTTTTATTTAAGTCAGCAGTTGCCAAACTTTTAATTTTTTAGCCTTTTTAATTCCGAATTAAGAAAGGGTAAACTAAATAACTTGAAATTTGATAAATTCACTAATAAGAGCATCTAAAGACAGTAAAAAAAAATTGGGTGAAAAAATTTTTAAGTGCTTATTTAAGGAGGTTCCATTTTTTAAACATTTGCATTGGCTACAGCTTTCCTTTGATGGTGATTATGATGGCTTCAGCTACGTTCCAGTACATATCTTCGATTAGAACAAAATGTTATCAGATTAGAAGACAATGAAAATATAAAATTTCATTTTGGGATATATATCAAGAATTTAAATTTTTTTTTAAATCATAAAAAGACTTTATATTCACGAGATATTCTAGATATTTTCCAGGAATAATTTTTAAAATAAGCCAAGAGGTGCACAACTCTATATTTCATGTCATTTTTTCGAAATTGCTTCTAGCTTTTTTAATTCTGTTGGCTTATCGAATTTCACTTATTCGATTTCATAAATGGGTTTTCACTTTTTTCCTTTTTTATTATTTGCATTTGACTCTAGGATTTGTTTCGACTTCATCTACTCTGATATTACTTTTAAGAACAATATTCTTCAGTTAGAGAAAGACATAGTAGGTTATAGGTTGTTTTCTCCGTTCTTTTCTGCATAAATTAAAACTACTGGTTCATCCTCCAGCTGAAAAATATGCAGATCTTCCAAATCTTTCTAACAGGGCCAATATTTGTCATATTGTTATGCATCTCTTAGGCATGGGGATAAGATTAAGCTAAATTTGTAAATTAGACAAATTAAAATTGGACGCACTTTTCTTTAACTCACTCTGTATTAAGAAATTTATCACAGAAGTAAAATAAATCACTAGAATCTGAAAGGAGAAATTATCAACAGCGAGAATCTATATAACACCATTGCTTGGAGCACATTGAAAAAACCCTTTTATGTTAAATTTTAACTCTATGATTGTCAAATAACTCAAAAAAGTATACTGCCTCTTGAAAGCTTATTATCTAAGCAAAGGTATTACCTTTGCTTAGATAATAAGGTGAAGAAAAAGACGTAAAATTAATTCAGGGACACTTTCAATGGAAGCGAATTCACTTGAATGTCTGAATTTATAATCAAACTCGTGCAACATTCTCGTAGATCAAGATTATGCTAATAAATTAATTTAAATGAATATTTAAATTGAAATACCTCTTTTGGGTTGGAAATGAGTTTCAGAAAATTGTACTTTCAAGACTGTAGTCATTTCAACTTCATATAACTTATTAGGATCAAATGGCAATTCAGCTGGAATTTCTCGTTTTCGTCTTCCATATCCTATTTGATCACTTCCACATTGAACCTAAATGAAGGAATGAAATTATTATTGATTTGGAAAAATAAAGGAATTATTCAAACCTAAATGAATTATATTGAATCTAAATAAAAAGTAAAGGATTAAAAAAATGGAAATTATTTGAATCTAAATGAATTACATTGAAACTTAATGTATTTAAAGATGAAATAAATACTAACTGAAATAAATGCCTTCATAATTTTAAAAGTTCACTATTTTAAGTCTTTAAATTCTGGAGCAGATTTTGTCTATATTTAAAGTGCTTTTATCATTCCGCTTTCCATAATCTTGCGTATACAATTAAGGTGGAAATGTAAGAGATTATATTAGTATTTTTGTTATCAGAGAATAATTTTCTTTCTAAATAATCTATCCCGAAATTTATTTGAAACACTTAAATCAAGAACAAAGAATTTTTCGTTTAAAAATCAGTGTATTGTAATATTATATATTTATTTTCTTTTCTCTATCTTTTAATCTAAATAGCAAGGAGAATTATAATAATGCTTCTACGCAAGGTATCTTTGTTTTATTATTTTTCAAGCACTATAAATATTTGCCTATTTATTTACCTTTGTTATGGAATTCATCATGAAATGAAATATTTGAAAAATTGAATATTTTTTTTCGAGATTTTCAACTATGATATCTGTTTATTTAATATGAATTGCAAACAAATGCATGAATCGCTTTGATTGTGAAGTTAAATATATCTCATGGTCTTATTCTCTCTTTTGAATGAACTATAATTTTTCGAGATAAATTTATAAAATTATGCATATTAACAAACCTTTATTTTGACTATTTTAATCTTTTAATGCCCTTAGAAAATTAACATTTATTAAATAATAATTATACAAAAATTAAATAATAATACAAATAATTCAAATTAGTTTAACATTTACTATTTATTTACTTTAATCATAAATAATTTGCAAAAATTGAAACATTAAAAGGAAAGAATGTGATAAGCGTATTAATTTTATTTTATTAGACAAGTTTTAATAGCATGTTCAGTGACATTTTAGTAAAATTTAGAATTTCAGTTATTTAGGAACACCAGAAAGTTGTTTCACAATGGAATAAATACTATACCAAAAAAACCTACAGGTGTACTTACAGGTGTTTTGTCTAAAACCCGAACAATTGAGTGTTTTCACAATTTTACTTAATATGTTTTTCATTAAATTCATAAACAGTATAAATTCAATTTGAATACTATATAAATTGAATTATCTATCTTATTGACAAGTTAAGTGACAGTTCAATGAATTGTAGAAATTCAGTTGATTAGGAAATTCAAGAAACTGTTTCTAACTTCACTAAAAACACGCTAAAATAAATTCATGTTTTATATTTACAAGTGATTATTCTTAAAACCTTTGAGCTTGAATGCTTTCACAATTTCACTTAACATATTGTTCTATTAAGTTAATTAATTTAATTAATTAATTATTTGTAGAAATGCTAAGGGAAAATTTCTTTTAACCAAGCAATTATTCTATAAGACAATTGCATGCTAGCTTCACTTAAAAGCTTTTTTTAATACACAATTAAATTTTTTGTTAATTGAAGTTCAGAAATTCTGTTATTTAAAAACACCAATAAGGTGTTTCCCCATAAATTAAAATTTCAACAAAATAAACTAATGTTTTATTTGTACAGATGGCAATTCTTAAACCTGGAGGATTGAATGCTTTCAAACTTCATTTAACATGTTTTTCCATAAGGCACATCAACTATTAAATTTAAATTTAAATGTTTCTTTACTAGTCACGGTCAAGAAACAGCAGAATATATTTACGATTTATTTTTGAACCCAGAAGAGTAACGTGTTTTTTCAATTTCAATTAGCATGTTTTCTTCCATTAAGCTCATAAATTAAAAAATTAATTTTGCTTGATTAGTCACGTACTACAAAATAAATTTATGCTTTTAATCAAAGCTGACTATTCCTGAACCTGGAAGATTGAGTGTTTTCATAATTCCACTCATGCAGATTTTTATTGAGCTTATGAAAATTAAATTTTAATTCTTTTATACCAATACTGAAATTTAATTTTCAACAAAGTAAGTATATGCTTCATATTTATTCTAGACTATTCTTAAACTTCGAACACTAAGTGTTTCTTAAAATTTCCTTTAACAATTTCTTCTATTAAGTTCATGACAATAAAATTTTAATGTCATTACCGCGCACGGTAAATTCTTTAAATTTTATAATATTTAAGTTAATGTGTCGGAGAGAGATTTTATATGTTTTAAATTTTTGGTAATAGCACAGTACTGATTTATATTAAAATGAATAAGCTAAAATAGAATGGGTCGAAAAAAGACATATTTTTTCCCTTTAAGACTAATTACGCAATAGAGAGAAAAATATTTTTTTTTAATATTCAATAATACATCAGAAAAATATTATTTTAGTCAACTAATATTTCGTTTTCACCTCTTAAAAAAGATAAAATTGCTCTATTTTGCTTTCTTCGGTTTCAAAATATATCAATTGATTGAAATGATATTTCAATGAGGTAATGTCGAATATTAAAAAGAAATTTTTCCCGTTATAAGAATCTGAAAGTGTTCAAAATTATTTTCGGTGACTCTTTTTTTAGGGTGGTAGGGGAAACTAGATAAATCAAATGAACTAATATTTTTTTTGGGATACTGAATAGTTAGTTATTACATAATAAGAATTTGAGAGAAACTTTGGTTTACTCTATGATTTTAACTCAATAGATATCATATAATATTACTATTACACAATATTACCGCTGGCAACAAACAATTTGAAAAACATTTCTTAATAGCTATACTTATAAGTTTAATTTAGGAATATCGAAGTAGCTATATTTATAAATTACTAAAATAGCTATATTAATAAATTTCTTTTGTTACTATTAATTTATGCAGTTATAAATTAAATGAACTTCTTTTCCACGATGGAAAGAATACTAGGCAAATTAACTAGTTTTTTCAATTTCAACATTTTTCTGCCTTTTCCTACTTCGAAAACGTATTTGTTTTTATGTAAATTACACATTAATGTCATAGTTTTTTTATTTCATGATTTTAAAAATATATTACGACCATTATGGATCATTTTGTAAGCATAAATTCATGTTTACGGGTTCAAAAAAAACGCTAAATACAGTCCTTTGAATATTTTTTTTGTTGGTAAAATTATGTTTCGCTACTGTGTTTAATTATTGTAAATATGTTCAGTAGACTGTTTCATTTTATTTTTGTTTAATAGCCGGCGTTGAAAAACCAAACCATTTTTGTGCTAGGGGGTATCAATGTTCAACTCCATAACCTTTTATGTTGAATCCTACCCAGAAGACAAAGAAACTCCTAGAATAAGCATAGAGACTAATTAGCCTTCAAGGTTTAATTTTAGTTGGCTCCATTAAAGAGTTATATGGAGAGTAAAACAACAAACACCATGATCCCTCTACCACTAGTGATACTTTCGGTCAGCCGGTGTGAGTATCCGCACTCGATGGGTTTCGAGCCTCAATCCTTACAAGGGTCACACATAATATCGTTCAAATTTGATGCAACCTTAATATGGCAAATGGTAGGAGTTTAGTTGTTTATAATTTTTATAATTTTATAATTTTGATAATTATCATATTTTCCAATTTAATTTTAAGGTACATTCAAAACTATTCGAACAATTTAACGAATCACCCAGATTTACCTCTTTTTCAGAAATCAATATTTACAGAAATATCTGAAAAAATATATTGGAACAAAATGAAAATAATTTTAAACAGAGCTGATTTTAAAATTTCATCCAAAACTCAATTTAGTTAATTCTAATTTTATCTCACCAATTAAATCATAACGCAATGTAGCATTACGTAACGTAATTAAAACATTTAATGATAGTGATATCGGTGTTTCTCAATAATTTATATAATAATGACACTATAATTTACTATATAAAGATTTTAATATTTTAATGATTAAAATGTTTCTTTAAATTTTTTTTATTACTCAATAAACATTAAAAATACCGCAGCATCATAGTTTATAATGCTTTTAATATGTCATGATTCTTTTCAAGAAAGATATAACATTGTTCTGCTTTGGCTTTGCTAAATCAAGGATATTTATTGAATTACACCGAATTTTCATTTTGAAGAGATATTGTTCAGAGCCTTCTCAATAGATGGCACTGTTAGTCACTTTATGAATTTAAAAACTGAATGGAAATTATTAAGGAAACTAAGGATAAAATTTACTATACCAGGAACATATAAGGAAAAATATAAGGAAACTATTATTCATTCATGTATGGAACATATCTTGAGGATTTTTTATTTATGATTAATAGAGTTTATAGTTTTGCTAGTTTTAGTTGTCTAAATACATATAACTGTCATAATATATTATCATAATTATACAAAAAATTATGTATAATTGCTTTATTTATTTAAAACAAAATTAAATATTGAGAATAAATGAACAAATACTTTAAATTAACTCGTTAAAATTAAAAATTATGGGCAGTGCAATTTGATTATTATTCTTAAACACATCTTCATCATATTTCTTTTCACTTTATAATAAACGGAAAATTTAATAAAAATTAATTATATTTATTTCATATAATCCAAAATACAATCTTAAATTAACATATGACTTCATATTTTAAATAAAATTTTTCACCTGTTTGATATATGAAAAATTTAACACAAAAAATTTTATTAGTATTTCACAATATTCATAATAAATCATTTTTTCCAGATTACTTGAAATACTATTTTCATTTTCATAAATAAATAAATTTATGCTGTTACTTATAATGATTAAGAGATATAATGTACTGATTCTGAAAAATGAATCATTTAGAAAATATTTACCTATTTTAAGCATGATTAAACAATGTTCACAAGCTTTTCTCAATATATTATGTATATACGAAGTAGCTTTTCAGCTTTATTGTTAAACAAACTTTAGGAATAAAACATTGATATAAAAGGACATAAAGCTAAATA